CTTCGTTTGCGTCCCTTAAACATTTTTCTTTTACAGTTCTAAATGGATGACGACGTATGTTGTCCATATTTTAGTTTGACTGCAATGATGTTCCTGAAATGAAATAAACTTTATTCAATTAGACTTATTACAAGTACTTTTGTATCGTCAATTTAATGAAAGCGTCAGTGTAGTCAGTCCGTGAGGAAGCTAGCACCGGCTCGGAAAGCAGTTCTGCTGAGAAGAACCGGCGAGAAACTCAACAGTTGCTCTTTTACATATAGGTTACAATAATATAATTATGTAAAAAAATCAATCAGATGTAAGCCCATAAACGAATTTGGATAAAACTTGACTCCATGAAAGACATTATTGAATTAACATATAGGAAACTTTTTATTTTAAGTATATGAAAATATCAGCAGTATATTTTCACGTGTGAATCATTTCCAACATGATTACCACTTATCTTACGGCGAAGGAAAATATCGTGAGGAAACCGGCATGTCTGACAAAACCTGGCAAGTATTCGAAAGGTATTAAAAAGAGTAACATGCCTAGCAGTGGGGACGTCAAAAGGGGCTGAATACATACACACACACACACACATACATTACTAGTCCTCCGGCGTATGATATACTATCTGTGGGTCTTAATCGCAATGTAAGTAGGACTACAGCTAATCAACTCAGTACCTACCTACAGCAAATCAAGGTATTACAATATTAGATAGTAGATAAATTATATAATATTAATTCTTTCACTGAGAAGACTAATGGCCGATTTTACCAACGTCACCTAAGTTTAAGAGATCCCCTAAGTATAGTTAGGGGGCTGTTAGGGGACAGTTTCTGTTTCATCGACAGTTAGGGGTCAGCTAAATGTTAAAATACCACCTTAATATATAATATAGGTACCTACTAGAAATACGGGCTCTGACGATGGTAAAACGAAATTTAATTTAGGGTCTAGTTTAGGGGACTTTTAAGCTAGGGATCCCATACGTAGGTGGTAGCTTATGGGTTGTTGGTGAAATCGGGCATAAGCCGCATAAGTGTTTATAATAAACATAAAATACACACGCTAATATACAAATATTATTTTCTATTTAAATCTGCGCAGTTCCAGAAAAATTAAAATATAAAGTGCTATAAATAGCCCCGTACAAATTGAAAAGCTCAAATATATTTGAAGTGTATAAAAGTGTTTTCAATTCTGTACATCACTAACTACTAGCACTAAAACCAATAAGTGATACGTGAGAAGCGCTCGCCGCCGCCCGCTGCGCCGCTGTAGCCGCAATGTATACATTACACATGAGACTAGATATACAGAAAGAATAAATATAGGGGATGATATTTATGATTACTCTACTGTGAATATCGACTTATATTATGTTCGACGTAGTGTTGCAACATGAAAGTATTTATTCAGGAAACATAGCCCGCTCTCAGCGCTATGCAAGGTTGCCAGATACGATGGAAGACATGCCAAGTCTACTTTAGTGATTCAATAAAAACTATGTTCCGTAAATAATAAAAGTGCAAACGTAAATAAGTTTATTAACTGTGACTAGCGACTCACCCTTGCTCTGCTCGGGTTCGTCCCTAGGTACGTTTTAACGGATAGTATGGAATAGATAGACTATACATTGTATAAAAAATATAGCCTATAATAGCAATAGCCGTCCTCGATAAACGGTCTATCTAATGCAAAAAGAGATTTTCAAATCGGTTTAGTAGTTCAAAATAGATCATAATATAAACATATGTTTTTTGTACGATGTAGTTTCTGATATTAACCAAGTTTGTTTGGAAAGATCATTGCGAGTGTAGCAACAGACGCATACTAGAGCGGCACTCGCCGAACTTTGCTTTGGAAAATTATAACTGACACTTAAAAATCGTCTACGGTTTGAAATTCTCACTAATGAGATCTGGTCTCAGTAATTATTTATTTTTATATGAGAGACCTTTACAGAAACACGGCTTTCTTTTATTTATCTTAGTACGGGAAGATGCCATTAACGCGTTAATTATATAAAGCGTATAAAACCCTCTTATATGAAGTTACTACTAGCTCCCACGATATACTGTACACTGCACACTCTTTTCTATTACAAATAAGTAAAAATCAAATGTATTATTTTTTCAATTTTTAAACAATAGTTTGAAGGAAAAACTCTTAAATACAAAAAAAATCTTATAAGCAGAATATAATTAAACTTATGCAGTTGGTTGCGATTCCAATTAAACTAGGAAATTATGAAATACAATAACCTAAAATTTTGTTAGTTTTTTACGCAAAAGTAACTAAATTTTAGGATATTTTTTTACAATTTTATCATAATACCTAAAAGTTACAGTTATATTTAGATTACATGAAAAAAAGCCTTAGTATTTATTACAAATACTGCACATTACTTATATTAGCACATTGCAACAAGGTGCTATTAAAACCCACGGGTTCTTCTTCTATTACTCTTCACAAAACTGATAAATAGTAACATATTTACTATACTTAGTCTTCTCTTAAAATTAAAAACGCAAGTACAATAGCTGCCAACGACAGCTAACTGTTATACGTCGAATCACCCCACTGCGGAGCAACAAAAAATATTCCTCAAGCGGAAACCAGGTCGCACAAGTACACAAGTAGATAAAAATAAATATTCGTTCCAATTTTTCTATTTTACCACAAAAGATGGTTTATGAAAGACATTAAGTTCCGCTGAAGACAGTTATCGAAGATTCTCGTATTGCGGATTTTAAAAATAGGTAATATCAATTGAACGAATGGGTGGGAATGACAGCGATCGATCTGCCTGGACGCGCGCCAGATGTGGGCTCTATCACTACCCTATTATACAATACCCAAACTACCTCCTTACTTAGCTTATTCTACCTAATACTTATACTACCTTAATTACCTTCTCTACTACCTAACTTACATTTTACATACCTACTGGATATATTACATATTGTGTGAAGAAAAATTGAAACTAACAGTTATAAGAGAAAATAAAATGACTAGTGATTAAGGTATTATGTTGAAAGTAGTTGAAACATCATAATATTATGTATGTATTAAAACCTTAAAAAGAGAAAAAATAATACTCACTGAAAAATACGGGACAACTTCACATTAAAACAACTTGTTACAATTCCGTTTCGACCCCCACTAACTCACTTACTTCCCAAAATTTATTCACGTCCATTCGTGTTCGTTGTTTATACAAGCACATTAAGTTTGTTTAGTGCGATATATTTCACATCGGCTGGTATCAAGGACAGACGCGGCCTTCAAATCCGAGTAAATTTGGTTTTATCGCGTCCGGTATAGCTTCGAACACCGACCTCCCGCCCGCCCTCCGTGCCTGTGCTCCTCCGTCCGCCGGATGTGAGTGATGGATGGAAGTGCCACGGCGCCCTCGGAGAGCTTCTCAATTTTTATGTTTCCCGCGTCAATCACATGTTAATAGCACTTTTTATTCGACGCGCAGAAATCCTTGGTTTATACTACTAAAGAAAAGTAGTATAGAAAATGTTAATACTTTTTTAGATTTATGCGGATATTTGACATTTTAAATAAAAATATCTTTTCGGATTGTTGGTTGCACTTGTATCATTTTATATGTTTAGTCTAATAAACACGTTCGAAGCAGAGACACGTTCTTTCTCTTGCACCCAAAGTCTCCAAGCGATATTCAACCTTAACATCAAATACATAGTGGTCAAATTGCGAGCCGGATCAAGGGTCATTAGCGAACATTGCAAAAATGTACATTCAATAGATAAGAATTACAAGTCAACGCACTTTAATGAGTATTGAAATATAAACGTTATAAACGCATAATACGACATTTCGAAGACTATTTTTTGGAAGAAAACTATTATAAAACATGACTACACCGGATCAAATGGTTAGATTATTGGAAGATACTGCAAGTAATTTACAAAAAACGCAAATAAACATTAAAAAGTTTCCGAAACAAAGATTAACTTCAACTTATTTAGAAGCAAGATTAAAATGTATAGAAGATCATTGGAGTACATTTATGGAAACTCATCAAAATATTACCACGAGAAAAAAGAGGTGAATTACAATACTTCGTGAATGAAGATTATTTTGTATACGAAGATTTGTACATATGCATGCGGACGGATATCAATGAAATGTTAAAACAAATGTCTTCTAGTGGAAGTCGTTCGGAACAATCAACGAGTTCATGTATTCAAGATGTGAAGATCGGTCAAGTAAAGTTACCTCGTATTCATTTACCTACTTTTACTGGGAGATATGAAGAGTGGCCAACATTTCAAGATTTATTTATTTCGTTAGTTCATGATAATATGCAAATAAGTAATGTTCAAAAGTTGCACTATTTAAAAAAGAGTGTTGCGGGTGAAGCTGAAACGTTATTAAGACAAATACCAATAACGGAAAATAATTACTTACAAGCATGGAATATTCTTAAAAACATGTACGGAAATAAGCGTATTATAGTAACATCAATTTTGAAAAAAATATTTACACAAAAGAAAATAAATTATCAATCGTCCAGTCACATAAAATTATTATTAGATGTAACAACAGAATGCATAAATAATTTACAAAACTTAAATATATCAACAGACTCTTGGGATCCTATAATAACATTTCTGATAGTGCAGAAACTGGACCCAGAATCACATAAGGACTGGGAAAATTTTGCATATAAATAAAATTCGGAAGAGTTACCTTTATGGAGCGAATTAAAACGATTTCTTGGAACAAAATTCCATACTCTTGAATTTGTCAAATCTGTACCTGTAACCTCGGGACTAAGACCAGAAAAAACTCAGTCGCTTCATGCAACTGTAGAAAGGATGTGTTTAATGTGCAAAGACAAACATACATTGTGTCATTGCAAGCAGTTTACAAGTTTACCACCTTCAGAACGTAATGAGTATATACAGAAGAATAACCTTTGTTACAATTGTCTCCATCCTGGGCATTCAGTGAAAAAATGTCGTTTACAAATGTCATGCCGCATATGCCACAAGCGCCATCATTCTCTTTTACATCAACCATCAAAGTCAAATACCTTGGATCAATCAGAGAAACAAGCACAGCCAACGGTATCAGTCTATGCAAATGTAGAAGAGTCAGAAAGAGAAGAAATCAATGCAATGATGACGTCACATTACAATGGAAGACAAAGTTCAGCAATGTTAGCTACAGCAGAGGTTGTGAAGTGTTGTGAAGGGTTGAAAAGTGAAGAAGGCAATATAATCATGTTGAGAGCTCTAATAGACCAAGGTTCAGAAGCATCATTTATAAGTGAGAAGGCTGCACAACTTCTGAAACTTTCAAGACAACCTGCAAGAGGTAATGTTGTAGGCATGGGTTCTACTAGAACAAGCGTAAATCAAAGGGTTCAATTACAAGTTTCACCAAGATGGGAGTCACAATTTTCTATCCATATTCAAGCCTATGTGATCAGCAAACAATTGACAAGTAAAATACCACATACTACAGTGAAAGGAATCAATTGGCAACATATCAAGGGTCTCAATTTAGCAGATCCCAACTATTATAAGCCTAGTTCAATTGATTTATTACTTGGAGTTAAGGAATATTCAAAAATACTAAATGAAGGTTTAATAAAAGGTGTACCAGGCACTCCATGCGCACAATATACAGATTTAGGATGGATTTTATTCGGAGAAATCAATACATCACAAGAATCGTTTCTTGTTATGCACAATCAAATATACGTGGATGAAATATATCAAACCATTAAATATTTTATTAATTATGCAAATGTTTATGCAAGTACAATTCTGTAAAACTTACTCGTAGGTACTAATTGTTTGTGAGATTGTTAATTGTTTAACTTAGATGTGCTACATAACTTTCATTTTTCTTTGTATTAAAAAAGGTCAAACCCCTTTTCAACCGACTTCAAAAAGGAGGAGGTTCTCAATTCGACTGTATTTTTTTTATGTTTGTTACCTAAGAACTTCGTCATTTATTAACCGATTTGGACAATTTTTATTTTGTTTGAAAGGGTATACTTCCAGATTGGTCCCATTTAAATTTCAAAAAAAAATACCACCCCTAAGGGTGGAAAAATAGCTAATAATGAATTTAACCTACTTCTAATTGTCATATTGACTTGAAACTTTGCAAGTGTTTCTATTTCCGTTGATAGTACAGTGGTTCGGTATTGTTGACCTGATCTGATGGTAAAGCCAGAAGGTGGATAGGTGGAACTCTTTAATGACTAATAGTAGATACTTTGAGTTTGGGCTTATTTTGTTTGGTTTGACAAGCCTAACACTTTAGAATTCTTACTTTGCTACTACTGTCTACACTAAAACGAGAAAAATAAAAACTTTTTAACAAAAAAATAAAAACCGACTTCAAACAAAATCACTAAAAAGTAGAAAATAACTGATTGGTAGTTTTCATTTACTATACATACCTAATCAAATATTTTCGAAGTCGGTGTGCTTTGCATTGTATGGGCTGGCACCGATTTCGAAAACATCTGATTAGGTATATATATTTAATAGGTAGGCTTTAATTACATAGCCAAAGCAAAATTGCTTTACAGCAATCATGGTCACGGGAGAGACCCAGGTATTAGATGTCTCGAAGGTATAGTTATTACAGACAGCCTACCCACAATTAACAAAATGAAAAATTGAACCAAGTACCTTACAATATTTTATAACTATAAACATTTTTATAATTTTAATTAGTTTTATAATTGAATATGGAGTATTATTTATTTAATTTTTCCTATTCTCAATATAATTATTACAATATTAAAAATCTTAATTAGTAATCTACATTGAGTGTTACCATTATATTTATAACCATAAAGAAAAAATATAAAATATAATATTAATTATTTAAGCCACATAATTGTTCTATGTGTAATTATATAAAAAGTTAAAATTAGTTAAGAATAATAATTTTAATTTAGTTTGCTATTATATAAAAAGACAATTTACTAAGCAACACTATTACTATATACTTTTACAAATGAAAAATATCAATCTGATATGCTATCATTTTGATCCACACAGTAAGAACTTACTACATCTAAACAAAAACGTCCAAATTTCAATAGGGAAGATTGTGACGTTGTAGGGGGTGATCTCTGGATCTACTAAACCGATTTAAATGAAATTTGGTAAGAAGATGGTTTGAGACCCTGGATAGGACATAAGATACTTTTTATCCCGGAAATTATAATTTAAGGGGGTCAAAATAGGGATGAAAGTTTGTATTGAAAATCAAGCTAGGGACGAACCCGAGCGAAGCAAGGGTGAGTTGCTAATAACATAAAGTTAACTTCTAATATAATATTTTCACTCTACTGAAATGTTTGAATGTAAGTTTTAATGTGATTTCCAGAACAAATATTATGTGTCTATTATCTATTGCCAAAATAAAACCTCCTTAAATCGGAATCTCTCGGGTGAAGACCAGTCTAAACGAAATATTAGGAAAAATATTTATTTATTATTTTTGTAATAAAATAAAACCTTTACAATTTTTGAGCAATAGTTCAATCAACGTTAGTTCTCTATCAATATTGTAAGTTAAGCGTTACTCAAAGCCCAAGCAAATAAACACGTACAGCCGAAGGAGAAGCATCGAGCGTGCACTTCTAAGAGCTGGCACACCGCCAGCGTCCGTTCGCAGGAACTTACTCTTCAGACAATTAGAGCTTTTAAGAAATTTACATAAGAACTAAAATAGAGTAATAACGTAGGTATATGTTACAGTACTTACAGCTCACTGTTAGTGCAAGAAAGTGAATAGATTAGATAAGTTTATGCTATTTTTCGTTTATTATAAAAGCCATAATATTATGTCACTACACATATTATAACATTTTTACTTACCATATATCCCATCCCATTAATCTATACCTACAGGCTACACTCTATACTAATATTATACCTAAATGTGAAAGTTTGTGAGTACGGATGTTTGTTACTCTTTCGCGCCAGAACGGCCTAACGGATCTGGATAAATTTGGCACAGAGATAGATTATAGTCTGGAATAACATATAGGTTACTTTTACACCAGAAAAATGTACGGTTCCCGTAGGATAGGTTTGTTTTCGTTTTTCACAGAGCGACTATCTATTTCTTATTAACCGTTAAAACGTACCTAGGGACGAACCCGAGCGAAACGTGGGTTAGTTGCTAGCTTAAAATAATTCTTTCCTTCAAAAGATCATTTAATTGCGAATATGTTGTCTGCATACGCGTTAAATTTAGATATTTTCAATAAATACACATACATAAACTCCAGTAAATTCTATTTCCATGCGGGCAAAGAAAAACTTCAACTTCAACTTATTCAAATTTAATAATACGGCGCAATCGCACTTTAGCGTCACTACACAATTGTACATAATTTCGAAATAAAGGCCGAATATTTTGGGTTAAAAATATTATATAATATTTCAAATATAGAAACAACAGCCGTTGAGCAATTTTATTAAAATACGTACTGATTCATACGTGCCTCGGTATATTATTATATTTTTGAAATGATAATTGTGGAAATGCTATTCACAATATTTTTTGCCATAACAGGATATTTTTACATATAGGTAAATAAATACTCATCGAAATCGCGCGGATTAATGCGATGCGGGTGGTTTGACTGCTAATTTTAAAGGGTTTCACTGTCAATACGATTTTCATTCAACAAGTGAGTGTGTGTAAGATTATCAAAGAAAACAAGCACATTCTCTTAATCATATAAAAATAGATTTTTAAAAGTGATAATTTCTAAAACATAATAAAAATGTAATAATACATGAAATAATAAAACTTATAATACAAAGACGGAAAGTTCTGTCCGAGCTCAACAGACTTTAGATAAAATTTACCTTTATATAATAAATAATGAACTAATAAACATTCTACTGTGCGAAACCAAAACCACGTCGTTATAATTATTGAACATCGTTTTAGTTGAAATAATAATAATATTTGACAAAATGGAGAACGTTAGGTTTGATCAGTCGATTTTGCGCTCTACATATTGTGTCTAGAAACTGTCGCGAGCGCTGCAGAGCCAGCGGCGGGAGCTGACCGCACTCCTCCGATTTCACTGAAACTATACGCTAGATATATCATACTCGGAACTTTGTTCAACAGCGAATAATTTATGGTGCGGTGATGATATAGTGCGTGTTTATTAAACGACAATTTATAATCAAACCACGTTTAAATTAAGGTTATAATAAATATTCAAAAACAAGTGCTTTTTTACAAAACTTATGAGAAAAGAACATTTTAATTTAGAATTCTAGCTTTTTTTGCTTTACATCCGTAATATAGTGTAGTGTGTATGTGTGTAAGCCTCCCCGATATATATATATGATGATAATATGTACGAACTGTTATTATTTAAAGAGTATTATACGAACCTTGGAGCCAAACAGTTGTCTCATTTTGTTCACACATTAGAGTAGTCACCTCATAGACCGTAGTACTAAAGCCGCTGTGAATTGGCTAATTGGCTATGACATATAGACAAGACACTCACGAGTGACTCATTGCCGGACTTGCCGCCCGCAACTTTTCAGATTTAGAGCATTATAATACTTTCTTAGATTTACGCGAATGTTTGACATTATTAAATAAAACTATCTTTTCGAATTATTTCGCGGATTTATTTTGATTTTTGGTTCCCGACGTTTCGAATGCTTTACAGCATCCATGGTCACGGGAGAGACTGAGGTGTTACATGTCTTAAAGATATAGTTGTTACAGACAGCCTACCCACAATTAACAAAATGAAAATTGCACCAATTACATTACAATATTTGTAACTTTAAACATTTTTTATAATTTTAATTATAATTGAATATGGAAAATTATTTATTTAATTTTTGCTATTATTTTTATAATTATTACAATTTTAAAAATATTAATTAGTAATCTATATTTAGTGTTGCCATTATTATATTTATAACCATAAATAAAAAATATAAAAATATAGTATTAATTATTAAAGCCATATAATTGTTCTATGTGTAATTTAAAAAGTTAAAATTAATTACGGATAATCATTTTAATTTAGTTTGCTATTATTTAAAAACAACTTACTAAGCAACACTATTAATATATACTTTTACAAATGAAAAATATTAATCTGATAAGCTGTCATTTTGATCTACACAGTATGAACTTACTACATCTGCCTGTCTGTTATGTTTATATTTATTATTTGATTTTATTATATTAATAACAGGATCCCACGACGATGGTAGTACCCAGCCATCTTCCCTATTGAAATTTGGATGTTTTTTTAATTTCTATGGCTTCTCGAATCATTCTAGGGCGATATCGGTTTTCTTTCGCCAGGATTTGAGGTCTATCGAAACGAATATAATGGCTTGGGCGGTCCTGGCTATGTTTGCAGACAGCAGATGTTGTATTGCGACGGTGCTTCACATCAGCTATGTGTTCTTTGACCCGGGTTCTAATGGATCGCTTTGTTTGTCCAATGTAAGAGAGCCCACAATCACAATCAAGCTTGTAGACTCCTGCATCTTGTAGAGGGATGTGGCACTTGATAGGTGGTAAGAACTGACTAATTTTCTTTGGCGGCTTGAAGTAAGTTTTTATTGAAGCTCGCTTTAGAATGTAGCCAATCTTGTCAGTGACTCCTTTCATGTATGGCAAGACTGCAGGGACGCGCTCGACTGTGGCGTCACAGTGACCGAGTGAAACCAGCCACAGTCGAGCGCGTCCCTGCAGTCTTGCCATACATGAAAGGAGTCACTGACAAGATTGGCTACAT